ATCACCACAATCAACTTACTTCACATTACTCCACTTACTACACATTTCAAATATTCATTTCATTTGGAACATTCTACAATTACAGATAAACAAACTTAAATGGTAAAACAGAAAAATAAATCTAAACTAGTGGGAATGTAAGGCATACCGAAACGTTTCCTTCTCTTAATGTTATTACTCAGCATTTCTCAGATTTAAAAAAAAAAAGTGCAATACATCATTTAAAAATATAAAATTGAACGACGTTATGCAGAAAACATCCAAGCAACAAGAATGAAAAAGATTGAATAATAGCTTGGAAAGTTGAGTCATACCTTAAAATTTCGAAAAGCAACGGTTCACGCCGAAAATTCGATATGAGTGGAATGTGACCATACAAAAGTTCTACGTATTCACTATTTAGAAAACAGAAATCCCCAAAACATTGTTTCATGTCGTTCAGTAGTAAGTCTCAAAAACCAAAAAATGAGAGGTTCACAAATTCAGAATCAATAAAATCACTATTCACTATGAACACAGAGTTGGACATGTTTTTGAAGTATTCATTTTATTAATTTTATGATTTTATTAAAATTTAGTGTTTACAATAAAACAGATTAAAAATAGTAAGCGATGAAACATCTTGACCCACTAGCTTCCATTTACAAAAAAAATTAGAAATTTGGTTGACTACAAAACTCAAACTGCTTTCTAAAAGAAAACAGTGTTTCAAACAAAAAGATTTTTGCAATTTTCCAAATGTTGGAGGTTGTAATCAAAACCAGTAATATCGTACTTATAAATGCACTTTCTCCTATGTGAGCAAGATATTTCACGAAAAAAAAATTAGCCACTTTCCAGAAAATTTTGAAAATGTCATACGGGCATCACAGACATCACCGAGGAATGTTTCCAGAAATGTGCGACGAAAAATCTGGAAAATCGAAACAAAGAATGCTTATCGATCACACTTGAAAGTTTTTTCTCGTTCGCCTATGCAGAGGCGAAAGGGTTCATCGCTCGAATCGGTCTGTGACCTAGTTTTCTCGGACACATTTCTACTCCTTCATTTGTTATATGACATTTAGGCATTTGCCGCCGCAGAAAAACAATAAACAGTGCGTAGAAATCAGTGAGGTTTTAATATTTACCAGTAAAAGATATGATAAACAACCAGTTTTTTGAATTTCTTACTTGATTTTTTCTTCAAAAAGAAATGAACTAGGAAAATCTTGTGTGTAAAGTATTATTTCTTGTAAGAAAGCAGTACATAATGAGCCATTTAAAAATAAAGATTTGAGGCAAGAACTTGAAAAAGTATTTTGAAATAAATAAATTAATGTTTTATTTTTTCTTAATTCACAATTATTTATTAATTAATTTATTAATTGTGAATTTTATTATGAATTATTTTATCATTCACCTTTTATTCATAATTCAACAAACAAATGTAGTAAAACGGAGTAGAAATATCGGAGTTCAAGAAAATTGCATAAAGACATATTGTACTTCTTCTCTATACGTCACATATAGTTCCGTTTTTTACATTAAATAATTATTTACATGCAGTACAGTAATGTATTTCTCTTTAGGCAATTCGAACTCAAATAGATAACTTAAGATTATGGAAATAAAACAAGGATTTCACGGGTGAAAATTTCACAAGAGCATTTAACAAAACAAAAAATGGGATTCACAGTTGATCTCATCATCACTGTCACCTCTCGGCTTGTGGCTCATAGAAGCATTTCGAGTCATCGAATGTGTTGAATGACACATTTCTAGTGTGTGGATGCAGTCTCATCGGCCTCTTTTCTCATTTCTCATCGCACATTTCTCGCAACACATCTCTCGGTCTAGTCTGTTGCCGGCCTAGCGTAAAGTAGTCCCCAAAATAAAATACCTTAATGATCAATGCTACAGCATGGTACAACTAGATCTTACTTTTGACTTATTTACCGAGTTTCAGCTCAAAAGCTACTAATCTGAGAGTTGTGCGTGACATATTCATCCGTACAAACATCCCAATTTGCGGGGAGGCCCTACATAATTACGCTTATCCTCTTCACCTGTAGCATTCTCAACCATCTTTGGAACAGATCGAAAAGAGATACTATAGTGCAGGAAGGAAAAGTTAAAACAATCTTAATCGAAGTAGTAGAATACGGGTGCTACGGAAGCAAGCAAATCGCCCGGCAGGCAGACGTGCGTTTATAAACTCCGGCAAGCGGAGCATGAGTTAATAGCAAGTGAAGTGCGTTAGAAGTCAGTGGAAGATAGTATTCGAAGAGAGGCTTCAGAAATATTGGAATGACGGCAAAACTGAAACTCATTCAATTCAATAAATGTGAAATGAAATAATTATTTGAAATTTCGTTTGGTATTTAATTGTCATTCATTATGATTCTTGCTTGTTCTGCAAGAAAGCGCACCCCTTCCCCGCAAATAATTCGATATGGGTTTACATGCGATTGAGCAGTCGCTAACATTTCAGCATTCCATGCATCGAAAAGATGTTGCCAACAACTACGAACCGAACACGCAGCCCACGAGTCAACATGCTGTGTAAAACTAGTAGTTCTCCAACAACACATATTTTCTCACATTTTTGCCTGCCATCCTGCCATTCTAAGAGACCTTACTTCTAGCCGTGGACAAAAACTGAAGAAAACATTTGGAGCGCTTTTTGAGATTTTAAAAGATTATTTGCATTAATTTCAAGTCAAAATTATGCGAAAACTACTCATTTTTTAAAAACATTGTAAACGGGATTTTTTAAAGCGCTGATTTTTTTGTAACATACTTTGTCCAAGGCAAAAATCTCTATCTTCAATTTTGAAATGTTGAAATTTTCGAAAATACAGAGTTTGCCGAAAATAAGACTAGCGCTATATTTTTTACCGTCTCTTCATACATACGAGATAAAAATGTACATAAAAAATTGTGCCATTAAGGAAAAAAAAATATTAAAAATTGCCTACATTTTCAGAAAAATTACGCGAATATTACTTATATTTTCGAAAAATTGTACAAGACCTTATTTCAAGATCTGTCTTTAAGGAACTGATTACATTAAGGAAAAAAATAGCTATCTTCAATATAGTTGTAGGAAGACTCCCATAAAAAATTGCACTTCTGCAATTTTCGAAAAATCTGGGATTTTAATGAACATGACCTGCACCATTCCCTTAAACGTACTTTACGCTAACCTAGGACAAAGTTTAACAAAAAATGGGTACCCCGGGTTAAGATAGTAAAAAGTTCCCTAAAACCAAATGACATATGAAAAGTTACACAAAAACTTTAACATAAACAGGATTTTTGAAAGGTTTCTTAGTCCCCATCTCACCATGCACATCTCTCTACAGATACTAACGGTTTTATTAATTTTAATATTTTTCGCCAACTTAACACTTATCTTTCATTTAAAAAATGAAAAATAAGAAAACAATATATACCACCAGGAAAACATTTTTTGATATTTTCTCAGAACCAAAATCAATGGTTGCGTTAAGTTTGGTGTTTGGGCACTGCTAGCATTAGATGGTAGGATACCATAACACACTTAATATGCTAATAATGTATCAAGCACCATACATACATACATAACATGTACTACTAACTTTACTTAAAACTAACACAATATCTAAAAGAAGTTACCACAACAAAAACGTCAGCAAAACCTTTACTGAGAAAAGTAAACCATTGAATTTATTTTGAATTCATTGAAATGTTCTCTATTTTTTGTTCTACAAGATTGTGAATATAATATGTGAGTTTTAAGAAAAATATTTGTAGGCACGATAGCTTAAAATAGAAAAGGCCATGTGGCATAACATTGAATATTGTTAAACATCCTTTGGATGTAAAGATTAGGATCTGATGAATAGTTTGTTATTGTAAGATATAACAATAAAAAGTCAATTTTCTTTATGATATACACCTTAGAAGGTGGCTAAAATCTGCTGTCATTAAAGCAATTTGATTAAGAGTGTTTTGCAACAGATGCCTGATATATTAATAGTAGTATATAGGTAGCCAAATTACTATTAGGGTGAAAGATCACGGTATGTTGTGCCATGTACCATGAACTTCCTCTAGCACAGTTTTTAGTGACATTTCTCTGTAAATAATATTTTATTCAATGAACTATGAGATCATTTTATTAATATATCCTAAACTGATGTTACAAGATTGAACATTTGTAAATATACCATTTGGATATTTTTCACTTCATAAAATATTTAATATTTAAATTAACTAGTTAAAATTGATTATTTAATATTAAAAACACTCATATACATTTTTTCCTAATTCCTTTACGATTATTACAAAAACAACGATTATTACCTTTATTACAAAAAAAAAAAAAAAAATGCTTACTCACTTGGGTCTGCCTCTCCTTGGGAATGACTTCTTCTCGAAGATTGGCGAGGGCTCGGTGGATGTGCTGGACTCTGGTCCATGATAGATGAAGTTTCCTCCTGAATATCACATTAATATAATTTTTTTCATTAGTTTTATTGAAACTTTGCAAATACTGGTAACTATTATTCAAATGTAACATTTAAAAATTAAATACAGGTTTATATTTAATACAATAGGAAAAGTAATGTTATTTTAACCAAAATATTTTTATATTTGAATTTTAAAAGAGCATAAACTGTACAAAAAAACTGAATGAGATATTTGCAATGTAAAACAGTTAAGTTATAGTATTTATTTACAGATGTCAGTGTGTTTGCAGAAGAAAACTGATTTAATAAATACAGGGGTACCCAGAGAAAGAACGGGCCTGGGATGTTAAATCCTCAGGGTCTCCTTATTTCAAACAAAAGTACCACACTCCCCGCTACATATTTTGTAAACAGAATCATTTCTTCCTGCAAGAGAAATAACTTGGAATAAATTGGAATTAGAAGTCATTGCATGAATACTTTTATCAATAAATCACAATGCCAGACAAAGGGGAATTTTGGATTTCTAATTACTTCAATAAATATACTTGCGAAACAAGATAGTCTTCCTGTCATTGTTTAACTTTAAACACAAGTCAGTTTTGAACTAATGATCATGTCATCACACTTAGAGTTTTTGTATGACAATTGAAGCAACAATGCTTATATTCATAAAGATAAAGATAAATACAACAAATGTTTTAATACAATTCCACCAAGGGACACAAAGATGCAAACAGATTGACAATTTCGAAAAAATAAAAAAAGGGATAGTGACTTGTGGATTGCAATAGGAGCTAGTCAGTTAAAAAGTTGCCAATAGATAGTTCTTTTAGTACTAGGGCAATAGACAACATCATTTCAGTACCGAACAATACAATTCTGATTTTTTAGAAACACAATTATGAATATTAAAATTTCAAAAACTTGATTTTGAATTAACATTATTTTAATCTTTTTTAAGTTTTGAAAGACTTAACAGACTAATAAAAGATAACTTTTTATTTAAAATGCCACAAGAATGCCCTGAGAGATAGAAGAAAACACTAATAAATAGTTGACAAGATGTTGAAATTTCCATCACTCCTTTTTAAGACTTGGAACATAAATCATTTTTAGGGGAAAGCCTTCAATTTGAAGAAATCAGAATAAGAAACTTCATAAAATTTATGATGATAGTTGCAGTGTGTCTTTCCCAATCCGCCCACGATTCCTCCCCTAAGACAAACTTGTCATAAAAAGAACCTTCTTATCAAGTACAGCCTTCTAACTAACCAACGGTTGGAAATGATACGTTCCAATGCTAGCTTTACATGCCAATACCATTTATGGGAATATTTGTCTGAGTTTCTTCTATGCAACTTCGTGCTTTCTAAAAAAGAAATGGAAACTAAATCTATGTTTTGTGCTTGCACATTGGTAATGGTCAAGAAATGAGCAACATCCAGTAAAGGTCTATTACATTCTTTTCAAATTGTATTTAATTAGCAAACAATTCATATGTAAAATAATACAATAGTAAATCTGAATAAAATTTCTGTTGATAAGTTCATGGTGCATATTCATCAAGAGAATCAATAGAATGAATCATTTGTTTGAATATAATTTGTCTTGTATTTCATATTTTTAAAATAAAGTTGTAGGTCTAAAACAAAATTTGAAATGGTAATGAACATTATTTAGTAATGCTAGTAAATGAAAATATGTGAATCAGCTTTTTGAGGTGGAATTGCTATTGCTAAAGGATTTGGAATCACATGTTGTATTTTTTGAAATTTTGATTCTCTTATAACTATATTCCCAGCCTAATTTGACATTGAACACGGAATAACCTTGAATGTAGTCGTTTTGTCAAAGTCATTCCCTTTTATCCCTCTTCGCCAGGTGCTTGATAGCATTAGTTTCCGGGGTTCCCAGAAGAGCACCCATCCAAGGACCCTTGCTATCTCGAAACCCTTGCTTAACCACCATAACTTCATGGATAATAGTTAAGCAGTTCAGCAACCGCCGTGGGTTATTTTCCTAGAAAATAATTGAGTTTACTGGGATTTTTTGTCACATATACTAATAAATTAACTGGCTTTATGGTTTCAGAGAGACTATTATTACCCCTAAAATCATAAGAGTGAGTGTGCGGGGAGGGGGTCATAGGCCCTCCTACAAACTCATGACATTTTTTTTCTCTAATTTTCTATAGTATCCAAAGTAATTCAATATCTCAATTGAACACATAATATATACTGAATTATACTAAAATATTCGATATTTCATTCGCCGATTCACGTCATTCTTCTTGTCTCACAGGATTGTTCCTTCACATAGGGGCACGATAAAAGAACCCAATAATGTGTTTGAAAAATTTGATTCCAGCCTTCAAACGTATTTTCTTCTACAAAGTTTTATGTAATTAACCTTTCTCCTTACATCGAAACAATCTTCATCAGTCAATTTCATGGATACATACAAAAAATGTTTCCCAATTTAAAGAAAGACTGGTGAATTCAAGAGAAGCTAATGATCGTATTAAATGGTAGTTACTGGAAACAGTATGTGGAGTACTAGTGACATCAAGCAAAGTAAAACATGATCAACTGAAAGCAAAAGTTAATATTTCGGATTTACGTAATATACAGCTCTACTAGGAAAGAAGCACAATTAAGAGACAAATTAATGTCTTGCCCAAGAGACACAGAAAATAAACCTAACTCAAAATATAATAACATACGGACTCATATGGTAATTAATATTTTGATGTTAGGCATTGAAATACATAACCTCTAAATCTAGAAAATGAAAGAACACATATTCTTTAATATGAACTGTAGTAGTAGAACAGTATCAAAGTTCCAATATCAAGTGTTAGAGTGTAGAACAATAATAATGATTACAAACTGGACCATAATATTGCAGGTACTACATGCTATAAGATGGAGATAACCCTTAAAGGACATTTCAGGACAAATACTGCACAGAGCACTTATATTCCAGAGGTGAGATCGCTGCCAACATATTGCCAGCCATTCTGCGAAAGATTTGTAAGATTATAGTAAAATAAATAGTGCAAATTTGTTCACTAATGCAGGAGATTTTTTTATCTTTCTAGGCGCTGGTCATTATTAGTAACATTTTAGCCACAAAGTTACAGCCTCCCCTTCAGAGCTAACTAGCTTCACTCTGAATAGGAACGTCAAAAAGCAGAAACAGTGATGATGAGCCATCTGAAGAACCACGTTTATCTTGACACTGGCCACTGTAGCCTAATTAACAAGTTCCGGCTGTACAATTCAATCGATATTCGATAGTGATCCTGGAAGGAATCTGCTGACCATACAGACTCAGAAAGGTGTCCCTTTTGCTGACCTGTGCGGACGATGCCATCGAGGACTGGACGTCTTCGATGATCCCGTTTGTCTGGCCATAGGAGAGCACTGGCCTGACGCATTATCGGGCCAGTGGGCTCCTCAGACCGATTAGGATGGTGGTCAAGTTGTCTGGGACCCTGATCCTGAAGTCCCAGAGAGTTTTGAAATGCCAGGGCATTCAGAAACCTGGACTCAAAACTGGTGACAGGCTGTTGGTGAACTAGAAGAAGGACAGTGGTTAAGTTATTTGTGACGGAATAAACCCCAATAGCTGCAGAACTGATTTATCCTAATTGAGTATGCAATGCCCCGCACTCAGAGATGTTCCGGGGTAATCTTGTTTTTCGAAAAGATAAATGATTATATTTCAAATACATTGGCAATCAAAAATTTTAGTTTTACAGGCGGGTAAAAATTCGTGAAGTACCTTAAAAAAGAGCTTTTACAATTCCATTAGCCAGATTGTAATATTCTTTGAGACAAACAATTTTAAACGTTTTAAACATTTTTTAAAATGAAATTTGCAAAATCACAAAAGGTGTAAGCGTATTTGTGCATCACTACAGTATTATTAATTAATTTCTTGGAACATATTGATGAAAGTTTGACGGAATTTATGCCCTTTTTTATTATTTTTATATTATCGAGTTTATCAAATTTGTTTGAAGAAACTGAAACGAAATGTTTAAGAAGCATTCATTTTTAATTAACAAATGAAAACGTAATTAACTTCTCTATGGTTAAGAATCTTTCTTTTAAACGTTGATTGATGTTACCGGGTGCGTCAAAGGCTATGGTCAGTAATCCCGTAAGTGTAGTGCATCTTATATCCAGGGATATAGCAGTATTCGTTCCCCAACCTACATGTCGGTTCCTCCCTTCCTTCGCCAGCATGACACCACTTCAGCTGACCTCCTGACAGGCCTCCCGACATGTGTGATGTGTGACATGTGTGACATGTGTGTAGTGCATGCAAATGCAACTGTATGTAAGGCGTGAGGATAGGGCACGGAAGAGGAAGGAAAGATCGTGCGCAGTACGTGGCTCTTTTGTTAGGGTACTACTTCAGCTTTCGCAGGGCATTGAAAGAAAAAATCATGGAAAACTAAGCATCAGAGCAGCTGGAAGCTATAATTCTCCTCTCGACAGCGGCTGTCAGCAGTTATTGGTCATCACTGGTATACAAGCTTTTTGAAACAATACAATTTCAAGGCCCGCATCTCACGAAAAAATGACAGGGACTTACTTTCTTGTATCTACTACATAGTAAGAGAAAGATATGTAGTACTTCTGCAGACAAAAGTACAGATTTTTCGACAGAAGAATACGTTTTGCAGGTCCGTGATACCGAAAAGAGGCATTTTATGGCACAAAAAGACGACACCATTAACCGAATTGCTTAACTACGCTTCGTTAAGTCACGGAAGTTAAGAAACTCGAGACATCATGGATTCCTGGATAGGTCATCGTCGGGGAATGCCGGTTATTAACGGCGCCGAGCCCGTGGCTGAAGGGATAAAATGCAATGACTGCGATATTACGACACAAAAAGGCGATAATTTAACGGAGAGTTACTCCGTATACACACACACACACACACACACACACACACACACACACACACACACACACACACACACACACACATATATATATACATACACACACGCGCGCACTCATACCCACAATATGGCTAAGAGCCTTAGTTGCGAAAAAGCCGCAACATTTAATTTTTAAAAAAGTCACAAGTTACTTATTCCAATATAATCAAAATTTACGTTTAGTGGGTCCTTGATTCCGAGAAAGTATTTTTCTCATATAATTGTGTCTGGCGGTCTGTCTGTGACTTTCACAAAAGTGTATTCCCTAATTGATTTGAATAATGTTGCGGTCCCTCGAACTTGAAACGCATCTTTATAGTTTGGGGTATATTACATGAAGCCCTAGGACATTTTGGACATTTTCTCAAAAATCACTGTAACTTTTTTGATCGTACGCTTAATGCCAGTAATAAGGCACAGGCGTGGTTTTCAGTAAAAAATTGAAAAAGTTTGATTTTTTCAATGCCTGGTGTAACTACATTATTAAAGATCGGGTTTTTTAAAATAAAATTTGTTTTCTAAATAAATATTGATTTTTTTTAAAATGTGAATAGTTTTCGCGTACTTTTAGAGGAAATGTGAAAGTTTAAAAGAAGTTGGTGTTCACAATATTTTCTTAAAATCACCTCCAATTCTTTCTTTTAAGTTTTTACTCCAACAGATGAATAATATGGCATAGATTGGAATTTCATTACCTTCTCTAGAATTTCGAAAATCACCAAAGAGCAATTTTTTCGAATCTATTTTACATCTTTAATATTGAAGTTAGAAATTTCTTTCTTAATACATTTTATCTTCCTTAATGCTCTATTCCTCAATATTTGATATTTAAACAATTGAATGGACTATTTTTCGAAATATTTTTCGCGAATTCGAGTTATGTTAATCTCTCTCTTGTGTTAAACTCAACTTGTATTAAGAATTCATTGTAATATCAGAAATAGAATACTTCTTTCGCCAGGTAATATAGCTGAATCTCATTTTTGGCTTCTCATACGTAGCGCTCGGTTTCGAATCCCAGCCTGGGTAAACTTTTTCTTTACACTTTGTGTAAGAATAAAGGTCAATACACTGAATTGAATAGCAGAAAGCCATTTGTATTTACATTTTTGAATTAAAAAATACTTTGTTTGATTTCGATGTTTTAAGTGTTTGTTGAAGTGTGAGTGGGATAGAAGTTGCAACGTTAAAATATTGCTTAACAGTTACAAATAATACGAAAAGTATGTGCTGTTTTAGCGCGAGTGTAGCGACATTCCTGAACTTCCAACTCCTATTTCGAATAAAATATCAATTGATACAAATGGCGTTCACAATTTGTACAATTTTTAAGACGTTTATTCGGTTCGGAAATGTTAGAGGAGGACTGCTAAGCACGTGTTTCGCAGTGCAATTCTAAAACAGCTGTCGCTTGAGATGTGCGGACCATAAAATTATATATTTTCAACAAGTTAGTTTTTCAACGGTGTTTAAATAGCTTAAAACGAAGTTTTTAAACCATAGAGAATTATTTAGTTTTCAATTGTTTATTAAAAATCACGTTTTGAAATAAATTGGGTTTCAGATTAAACTCGACAAAACAATTACAAACAACAGTACATTTGCATTAACAGGTTCCTAGAAATTGGAACCGATGCATACAATTTAAATTATTTATATCTTTTGATATAATGCACATTTTATACAAATATGTTTTTGTTTGTGTAGAGCACAATAATTACGAACAGTCTTGTGTTGGTCAAAATCCAACACATTTTTTCCTCAGAGAGCCCCACTTCACGAAATCTTACCCAGGTCTGTAACCTATTTACCGAAATAGTCAAGGATGAAATAAAAGCAAACGTGAGACACACACGACTTAACTCTTCTCTTTGATGAGAATTAAGAATGTACTCTTTAAATATAATTAAATGATTATTTAATTTATTTATTTATTTTGTAATTTATAGAATCCATTTCTGTTCAGGTCAGGAAAATATAGAACTAGCCCTTTGTTATGAAACATTGCCATAATTTTTCTTTAAATAAAAATTTCCCGACTACATAAAGAAAACTAGCTTTTTGTATTGAAAATAGGTTGGTTAGTCGAGTCTTGGCTCAAGGGTCGCGGGTTCGGATTCTACCTCGGTGGTTCGGCGGGGCTCTTCCAATCACCTTGTGTCACCTTTCAAGTATTCTTTCCTTTCCTTCTCGACCCGATGACGCAGGGGTTTGCGTCCAAGAATGCGTTAACGAGTACAAGAGAATCGGACCCCGCGAAAGGCGTCGATGAGGGTGTGGTGGGGTTTCCCACCTTTTAAACCCCTTTCCTTCCAATTCCAAGCAGGCGTACAATCCGTTACCAAATATCTGTATATATACAGCCGATATGTGCCTATGGGGTACTTAGGCATAGCAATAACGCCTGGCTGCCGAGGAAGCGAAAGATCCCATCTCGGCATCGTAAAAGGAAACGGGCTGGAAGGCGGACAGCAATGCAGTCTCCAAACAGCAAGGCGAAGGGTAATGCATGACCTTGAGAACCACGAATTTCCGTTAAAGAATTGTTTCAGCGATGCCCTTGTATATTACAATCATGGGTTCACATTTCGTCCTATCGAAGAGATAAGGAAATCACCCGCGTGTTTTAATTAGTACCATCATCCACGAGACAGATTAAAATATCTTCGATTTTTAAAAGGGTAATAAATTTGGTAGGTGCCTCGGAATAGAATAGGTAGCGCAAGTCTTGCAAAATATACCCCGTGGTAAATATTACGTCGCTGCTATTTTGAAATCATTGCGGGTCAAATCGCACGGCAGCAAAAATACAGAAATACTTTTTTCTACTTCATTGTGAAAATCGCGCTATTCCCGCGCACGCGCTATTCACGTGAGCTGCAACTTTTTCAGTAACATATATTGACACTCAACACATTTTTAACTGTAACTTTCCAATTTTCTCGGGTATTTACTCGTTCATTTGCCTTAAACCATTCATAAAACGAGACGTTGATAACACAAATGAGTTGCAAATTTCCAAAATTTTCGCAATGACCGCAAAAGAGACGTGCCGCGGGGCCACAAATCTTTGCTGTGCACAGTCTACGTTCTTCACTCTTTGCATGCGACAAACTTATCTTTCGCGATTTATATACTGCCTTACTTATGCTTCTGTATCGCAATGTCGATTAGAGGTCATAACGTGCGATATACATCCCGCGGCATTTTGAACCGGCGTACGACAGCCCCATCGCCAACCACCAAACCTGCTATAACGCCGGATTTGAAAGCACGTTAGTGTTTACAAATATTCATCAAATATCATCATATCTGAATGCTGCTGAATTTGTCTTCTCAATACCTATCAACACCCTCAACTCCTTCTCAAAACCTATCTATTCGTGCAAAAAAGTTTAATGCTCCATATTAAAAAACAACAACCGGGTGGTGCTCAATAGCACATACTTTCTAACATTGTTTCTAACTGCTTCGCAATATTATAGTACTACATGAATCTGAAAAATATGTCTTCAAGTAGCATTCTTTCGCACCGAACCGTCGCCGTCCGCCTTCTACGCCAAACGGTCTGACGCTCCAACTATGACCAACGCTTAAAAATCTAATTGTTTCAATCTAA